ATGGCCCCGCCCCTCCCTGAGCCTGGTTCTGCTGGAGGTTTCTTCCTGTTAAAAGGGAGTTTTTCCTTCCCACTGTCGCCAAAGTGCTTGCTCATAGGGCGTCATATGATTGTTGGGTTTTTCTCTGTATCTACTGCACAATATAAAGCATCTTGAGGCGACTGTTGCTGTGATTTGGCGCTATATAAATAAAATTGAATTGAATTGAACTGTCAGACAGGGGGAAGGACAGGTGACGGGGAGGCAAAGTGAAGCACACAGATGTTTACAGCTGTCTTAAACAATCAGCGAAGAGTCCCGGGTCAGTTTCTACCTCGTTATGTCTCTATCTCACATCTTCCTCTGTATGAGTGATTATTGTTCTGCCTCACTGTCTCCGGCCTCGCTTCACCTTTCCTTTTGTGGCAGCCTGACGCAGAGAGCTGCTTAAAAGTGACTGAAACAAATATTATTTATTTGATCTGGGCTGAAGCTTCATTCAGAACATGCTTCATGCTGCTGTAGACTCCTGGGTCCCCTCTCGTCCGCATCCTCCACTCATAACGTGTTCATTTACCACGATGCATGTCATTACGTCGTCTTGATGCATTCTCAATCATCCAGGTAAGTAAATCTCAAAAAGTTGATTCTGTTCATCTGGACGTAGCGTTTTTTTGGAGAAACGTTTCGTCACTCATCCAAATGACTTCTTCAGTCTCAGTAAATTTGCATAATGACTGAAACCAGCCCACTGAAGGAACAATGGGCTGGGAGGTCAGTTCCTTAATCGTAATTATCCAAATTCTCATGACCATTGATCAACAACCACTGACCAAAGCCCACTGATCAATGGCCATGAGTCCCATTCACAGAGAGTTGGGGAATGGCTGCAATCACAGCATTGTAAGATGGTGACAGATGTACCCTTAGACCCCTCCTCGTGAAAAGGGAAAGACCATCTCTGAATCGAGGAGCCTGTTCAGGTCAGTCCTTTATTATCCAGGTTTGTTGCTGAAGCTGCATTATGCAGTTCTTCAGAGGAAGCACAATCAGCCTGCTAAATAAAAGTCTCCAACACTCACGTATGAAATGTGATACGTTAGGCCTTACAGGGTTAAGGTACAAACACGTCTCCGGAGACTCAGACTGAACTGAATAAAACTGATTTATAAGTTCCTGTGTGGCGTTCTCACCGGAGGAAAATGTCACCAGTGATCGATGCCTCAAACCTGGGAGGACTCGACGGATCTCTGCACACAAACGCTCACACAACAGATTTCTGAAACACGAGGAGTTTTTACATGTCCTCGGACTTCAGCCTAATTTTAGGAGGAGTCCCGTTGCTGTGTGGTTATCACTTCCTGAGTGTGACTTTATGGACACAGATATTTTTACACTCTTTCAGCGACTGGCTGAACTCATCTCAGGAAATTGGATAGCTCTCCGACTCACAGTGTAAATGACAGCAGCTGCCAGTAGCGCCAACCTGTTTCTTCTTTCTGAGTGGCACAGACCCATCTGGCTTTAGCAGCAGGAAATCATTTTCTAATATCTTTCTTCTGCTTTCATTTCTGTGACACTTTGACTCGTGGGGACAGGCAAACACACATCTCCCTTCCACTTCAAAATAATCCCATCTAAGACGCAGTAACAATCAAAAGCTCTCCTGTTGTCCTCTCGTCCATCTTCCTCTCTCAAAAACACTCCTCCTGTTTGAGCTCTTCCTCATCATCCTCCTGCTTTGATTGCAGCTATAACAAATCAGCTGTGTGGTTTTTCTCTCAGCAGAAGCCAGAGTTCAGTCAGTTTTCTATGTGGAAAATCATATCTCTTATGTCTTTAATAGTTTTCCAGCACGAACACACGAAGGTACAAGTGGCTTCAACAGACTGAGTCCTTGTTGTTCTCGTTGATGTTTGACAGAAACAAACTCCCTTGTCTCAAGTTGGAATCCTGGAATATCTTCTTCCAAGGCCATTTCTGCTTCTTCAGAATCAGAATCGCGTTTATTGGCCATGTATATGCACAGACACATACAAGGAATTTGGTTCCGATAGATGGTGACTCTCAAGCACAGCAATGTATATCTCAACAATCTAAGCAACACAATTCACCCACACACACACACACACACACGTGTGGATATATACAGCTACACATGCATACACAATCAATCACACACAAGCTGTGTAAACCAACCACAAATATCCGATCTAGATCTTATATACATAAACTACAGGACGACAGAAATGAATGAGGTGGAATGAATACTACAGAATGTGCATAAGGTGCAGCTGCAGTCTGGCAGTGGCAGCAGTGTGACAGGTCAACTGTTTAGGAGGGAGATGGCGAGGGGAAAGAAACTGTTCCTGTGTCGGGTGGTCCTGGTCTGCAGGCTTCTGTACCGTCTGCCAGAGGACATCTCCCTCTGGCCCATGTCTTTTAGAACCTCTCGTGCTGTTGGAGTTCTCAAGGGGTGTTTGGGGTCGATGCCAACATTAGTATCAATTCCAGCTGTGAAAATACCGAAAGCTCCTCCAAAGACGAACCCTCCCACACAGGCCAGCAAAGACTTGAAGGCGCTGCTCTCCATTCCCCTCTCGATCATCTTCTGCTCGTCGCTTTTCGGAGGCGGGGTTCAGGTCCTTCACGGGCCTCTTGTCACCGATAAGATGGAGGAGAGAAGTTCAGGCTCGATGGTGTTAAAAGCCAAACTAAAGTCCACAAACAGGACCCTGGCATAAGTTCCTGGGTGGTTGAGGTGTTGCAAGATGTAATGCAGCCCCATGTTCACTGCATCATCCACCGACCTGTTTGCCCGGTAGGCAAACTGCAGAGGGTCCAGCTGGTGGTCCTTCAGATGGGCTAACACCAGTCTTTCAAAGGATTTCATGACCACAGACGTCAGGGCGACAGGTCTGTAGTCATTCAGTCCTGTGATGGTGGGTTTCTTGGGGACCGGGATGATGGTGGAGCGTTTGAAGCATAAAGGAACTTCGCACAGTTCCAGGGATCTGTTGAAGATGCAGGTAAAGATGGGAGCCAGCTGTTCAGCACAGGATTTGAGGCAGGAGGGTGAAAAACTGTCTGGTCTGGGGGCTTTCCTGGGCTTCTGTTTCTGAAATAGTCGGCTCACATCCTGACTGTGTATTCTGAGTTTCAGGGATGAGGGAAGGGGGTGAGAGGTGTGATGGAGGTCGTTGAGTCTGGACTGGGGAGGGTGGTGGTGGTCGTTCTTCCTCTCTTTTCTCTTAACATGTCCAGTACAAATCAGGAATCAGCTCTGCGAGTTTGTGAGTCACCAGAGAGACTGTGATGCTGATTTCATGGCAGGAAAGATGCTCTCTGACTGAAGTGTACCTGCACTCACTGGGGAATATTTAATGCTACCAAATGTAAAACCATCATAATTTAGTCAAACATGGACTTTTACCATTTTACACTGTACACACAGTCTTAAGTCTAATTGTTGAATGTTGTCATCGTGTTTCTTAAATTTGTACAGTCTTAGTTCAAGCAGTAGGATCAAAGCCATTCCTTTGTCTCTGACCACCTCTCCAGCCACTCTGTGCTGGGGGAGGTTTTATTGCAGATACATCCTATGTGGAAGATCTGTTTCTTGTGATGTTGCTTCCTTCTTTTATGCTTCTTTTGGTGAGCAGGAGGTCATGCATACAGAGAGACACACACATTCTCACATGCATGCACACACACACTCTCACATACACACACACACACACACACACACATGTTCACAACGGGCTGGAGAGCACTGGCTTGACCTGAGACACATGAAAGACGTTGTGAATGCGCATGTTGCGCGGCAGTTTGAGACGGACGGACACAGGGTTCACAATGCCGTAGATGGGAAAAGGGCCAATAAATGGTCGGGTGCAGGTCGAACAGGCTGACACATACTCCTTGGCATCCTTAGCCATAGCAGGCCACCAGAAGTAGCGTCGGAGGAAGGATAAGGTGTGGAGGACCCCAGGATGGCATGAAAAACGGGCGGTGTGAGCCCATTGGAGAACCTAAGAG